AATACTGAAAGTATCACAGATTTCCAGGAAAAAAAATATCTCACTTGGGGGAAGTTCAGCAATAAGGCTCCTTAGAAGTATCACAAGACTTTATTGCATGTACTTTGGACACGTGATCAAGAGAGGCCAGTCCCTGGAAATGAGTATCATGCTTAGTGAGTTGAAGGGTGTGAAAAAGAGGAAGACATTGGGTGAGATGGACTGACAGTAAGTGCAACAATGTGCTCAAACATAACAGCAAGTTGGAGTCTGGCCCTAGACTGCACAGTGTCTCCTTCTGCTATAACAGGAGTTTTGTGAGTCAGACAGACTTAAGGGGACCTGACAGTGCATTAACTATGTGTGAATTACTTGAGCTAATGTGCAAAACCCTTGCCAGGTAGTCAGACTCTCTCTCCCCTATTAAACGCTATATTTTTCATAACTTTAAACTCAAATGAATAAAATACATTGATTTTATGAAACAGGAACAATACTAGAAAATAAGTGACAAAATATGTTTATTCTAGACCACAGATAATGAGGCAAAATAGAAGTGCAGAGAAAGGCAAGAAAGGGAAATATTTTACAGCACACATCAATCAGTTTTGCACATAATTTTAACACACTGGATAATAATAATTGGAATTTTACCCTGGATATTAATGTATTTTCAAAAGAATACTGGATTATTTGAACAAACTTTTATAAAACTTATTTGGAAACATTATATATAAGTATCTCAAATCAATTCAGTTATTTCCCATATTAATATTTTTGTACATTTTATATGTATTTATAGTTATTTACTATTTGAGTCAATGTGTATGTAGAAAAATAACAAATAAATGATTTTTTAAATAATAAAACAAAATGTTGTTTAAAAAAATAAATAGTAATTCCCATCTGTTTTTTAACAAGGGATATCAGAGTTAAAAAAAAATAGAAAGAGAGAAAAGAACAAAGAAAGAAATTACTCGGTGAAGTTTTCCTTGTTTTCTCACCAATGTAGTTTTCCGTTTTTTTGCAAACTTCCTTCTAATAAACTCCCATGATCATCCTGTGTCCTTGGAGAAAAACCTATCATGATTATCCCATTAGAATTTAAAAGAAGCACAGGGAATCCAGGACAGATAAACCCCTCAGGACCAATAATGAGACTAGCGATACCTGGGGGTGGAGGGAAGGTGGGGTAGAAAGGGGGAACTGATCACAATGATCTACATATAACCCCCTCCCTGGGGGACAGACAACAGAAAAGTGGGTGAAGGGAGACATCGGTCAGCTTAAGACATGACAAAATAATAATAATTTAGAAATTATCAAGGGTTCATGAGGGAAGGAGGGTGGGGGAGAGGGAGAAAAATGAGGAGCTGATATCAAGGGCTCAAGTAGAAAGCAAGTGTTTTGAGAATGATGAGGGCAACACACATACAAAATGTACTTGACACAATCGATGTATCTGTGGATTGTGGTAAGAGTTGTACGAGCCCCCAATAAAATGATTTTTTAAAAGAATTAAAAAACAAAAATTGTTACCATAACTCTCTGAGCTCCCCTCTCTGCCTTGAATATATACCTGGCCCAGCAGATCCCCTCAGAAGTCATTTTGATTGGACCTTATTCTCTGGTTGTACCATATGTCCAAGACTCTTCTCTGGTTATGATTCCTTAGCTTTCAGCTATTATCTCACTTAAAAGACAAATGGACGCCTTTGATACCCACCCAGAAGACAGCTTGCTGGCACCAAGAGGTTCACTTAAAATTGAAAATGCCTAACCAGGTGAGATTCCCAACTTTAGTAACTACTGCATCAACGGTAATTCTTCCACCACTTTAGAGACTTCAACCCCAGTTTCTTCATTCACCAAAGTTCATGGTCTTTCCTCTTTGGGCTCCTCTTTGAGTCTTCCTAATCATTCATGAAACACTTGATCCATTAAAAAAAACATTGCTGTATGCGGGGAAGTCGTTGTTAATTTTTTTTTAAAGCTTCAGTGATTTGGGAAGAGTTTTTGTTAGAAATCTGATATAGTTCTGACATTAAAATTATTTTTCCCATGACACGAAAGCCTTCTTCTTCTTCCTCTTCTTCTTCATCATCATCATCACCTTAATGAGACAAAAAGGAGGCCTGGTGGCATAGTTGGTTAGGCACTTGGGGTTAACAACTGCAAGGTCAACAGCCCATCAGCCTTTCTGTGGGAGGCAGATGAGGCTTTCTGTTCCTGTAAAGATTTACAATGCGCTTTACACAATTGATGTGTGTATGGATTGGGATAACAGTTGTATGAGCCCCTAATAAAATGTTAAAAAAAAAAAAAAGATTTACAACCTCAGATACCCACAGGAGCCCTTCTCCTCTGTCTCGGGGATGCTGTGAGTTAGAATGACTTTCTGGCAACGAGTTTGAGCTTGAGTTTGAACGAGACTCAGACAAAACCTTTTCTGCGGCTATTTACTGATTTCCAGATATGCTCAAGCATCTTTTGTTTGGAATGAATGCATGCATGTAACTTATTTCATTCATGGAATAAACCCATGAACTGGAATTCTAGTAGCAATGCTTCTTGATTTACCCTTGTATTTGTTATAAATAAATAAAGATGTTTAAAGGTTACATATCACTTCAAGTGGCTTTTTTATCAGGGAAGCAAAGCCAATCATAAACGTCAAAATATGAGAGATAGATTATTATGTGTTCAAATTCCTGAATATGGCTGGTAAGAAAAGAAACTTTCAAAGCACTTATTGCTACCAGTCATAACGGAGAATTTTCTCCATTTGTGACCAATATACTTTTAATCTCTAGAGTTTCCATTTTTAACTAAAAATTCATTGGAATTTCCATATTTAAATTAGTAAACTGAGCACAGACACCTCCTTCCACTTCTCCCCAAAATTCCATTAAATGAGAAAAATCATTTCAAGAATGAAGCCCTAAAGGCTCTAGAAAATGTTAAAGAGATGAGAAAGCTGCAGTCAAATTGACAGAGATAACAGAACAGGGAAAACTGCAACCCCAAATTCCAGAGAAGCGTTATCTTCCCAAGGGAGCACTGGATAAGGTCCAGCCTTGGAAGTAGCAGATACAAGAACTGGAGTTGCCCCAGAGAAAAAGTCACAAAAGAATTAATTAATTAGCTAAACTTGGTACATCTGGGCCTGACACACCCATCCCAACATCCCTCCCCCTTCTCAAACATGCAGAGCAAAAAGGCAAAGAGATGGAAAAGATGAGAAATGTGAAGTAACGTGATTGATCAATCCGGGCAATCAACTATCCATTTCATAGGGGTTCCAGTAATAGAAAGAAGATACCGACTCAGAGAAAAAAAAACACACACCAACTTCAGAGACAATGGAATTTGTCTTTGTGTTAAAGCAAGACTTGTGTCTTCATAGCCAAAGGACCCACCTAGTATTGAGTAGGATGAATGAAGGCATTCCTAACACTCCATTGATCTCAGTACACTTACAGCACTGAAGGATAAAGAAAAAGGAATCCTTTTAAAATCCCAGCAGATTACTACAGAAGTATGTCATTCAAACTGATATCAGACTTCTCATCAGCAATGCCCATGGCTAAGAAGGCAAACAAGCAAAAACTTCAGAGCTCTACAAGACAGTGATTCATGGCCTGAACTCCATACTCTGTAAGAACAAGGAAATATAAAGCCAAAACAAGAACCGGTTTGGATTTCAAAGACTTGGAAAGCTCACCAGAACCTCCTTGCAAAAGTTAACTCAAGGATGTGCTAGAGTAAAATGAAAACAAACAAACAAACAAAGAAACTAAAAATAAAGAAGAGCCTCCGTTGACTATGAAGTAAGGAAGAACGCCCATGGGATGGGGCAGTTGGGCAACGGAATTATGTTTTCCCTTTTGTGAATTCTATCATGTGATTGTTCTTGAGTAAATAATATTGACACGATCACCCTTCTACAAATGTTATTTTTACTGGACATATACATTAGAATGAAAGCATAAACCAAAGTCTTAAGACTTGGCTTTAACTATAGATGAGAATGTCAACATCATAAGCCTTAACAAAGTAAAACAGACTTTAAAGAAGTGAGAAGTGTAGGGAAGGAACAAATGGAGGAGAGAATCGCCGTGCTAATTCCTTACCCTTCCCAGTGGAGATTCAAAATATGTTTTCTCGATTTGGTAAGTCACAGAAAGCATTTACAAATGAAGGAAAATTATACATGGAATTTGCTTTATAATCAGTAAAAAAGGAAGTTCTAGATAGGGTTAAACTATCTATAACTGACTCGTCGCCAGAGCAGAGGGTAGAACTGCCCCTGTGAGCTTCCGAGACTGTAACTCTTTAGTTTAGAATTATGGCATCTCCCATGGAGCTGCTAGTAATTTTGAACTGCTGAACTGGCAGTCAGCAGACCAGTGAACATCCACTAGATAGAGTTAGATACAACCTAATTGGCAAAATGTTGGAAACTATTGAAGCTCAGTGGTGTGTGTGTCTCACTGTAGATCTGCTTGAAATTTTCTATTACAAAGTTAGAATTAAATAACATTGAATACATCAATGTCTGTCCAATTTTATTACTCCAGGCTCTAACAATAACGTAAAGAAGGAAGAGGAAGAGAAGCTCATCCAAGCTTGTGCGTTATTTTTGTGTACTATTGAGTCTATCACAGCCCATAGCAACCCTGTAGCACAGAGCAGAAGAGCTCCATAAAGTTCCCGAGGAGCCCGGAGGGCAGAGTGGGCTGTGCACTGAGCTGCTGGCCAAGAAAGTCAACCCACCTATCACTTCTTGGAGAAAGATGAGACTGTCTGTTCTCCTAAAGACTGGAAGTCTCATCTATTCCAAGGGGCACTTCTACTCTGTCCTAAAGGTGCTGTGCTGGGAGTCGGAAGAGACTGGGTGGGAGTGAGTTTAATCTTTACAAGAACAGAACGTCAGGTCTTCTCTTCCATGGAGCGGCTGGTGATGCTGACAACAGTCAAACATTTAACCATTGCGACACCAGGGCCCCTTAATTTTCTGTTGGTCTCTCAATAAACCAACAGTTAAACAAAAAGAAAACCCTCTGGACCTTTCTCCTTCAAAGCAAAATAAAACAAAACAAGGTGGAGAGTAAGTACTACATTTCTCACCCATCCACAACAGCTAGAACTACGTGTGGACTATTTTATGGAAATGCTAAAAACCTGTCCTTGTGTACATACATATCCAGAGGCCATTGTACAGACCTCAACGGTTTTTACAGTGATTTCTGCTTCGTTGGACATTGCCATTGATGGCGTCTGTTCTGTCACATTTGGGCTGAGGGCACAGACATCGATTTAGGATCAGATACAAGTGAAACAGACACTCCTTAATTAAGGACATGGAAAGAATACATCGTGTACACTGCAGTGACATGGTTTGGACCAGAGAAACCATAAGCAAGAGTATCTCTTAAGAAGCTGGTGGCACTTTAGATATTGCGATCCTATTTTACAAGGTTTGCCTTCCAGGAACACTACTGGGGCCCTACTGTTTGGAAAATCTAGTTACTGTCTTGTAACAATTCTTTGTCCTTTTAATCCACTCAAATGCTCTTTTGTCTTGAACTGGCAGCCCCAGTGGCTTCCTCTCTGTTCTGCACAATAGTGAATCAACTCTAAGAGCACATGACAAAAGGGGACAGATGATTTAAGTTATTTAATTACTGAATGTAACACAAGTCTACTCCTAAATGTGGAGTTGAGCAAGGTCTTGTTCCTATCATAAAACAACTCAAAATCAATAATAGAATGCAACGGTAAGACCTCCAGATCTATAGGCCAAGCAGAGTAAGGTGAATCAAGCACAAGCCAGGCAAATGACTATTCCCTGAGGATGTTTTTGTTCTTTGGCAGAGAAATGTAAACAGACCAAAGTTAGGTTTTCTATACTTTAAGATATTAGACAAATAGATGAAAACCCAGGGCTTTGGTATTTGAGCAATGGCAAAAATCAGATACTTATGATTCCAATGTTGTTTTCATAAATTTTTTTTTTAAGAGAAGAAAAGAAAGAAAAACATTTTAAAGACCACGCAGGCCTTCTGGAACAGATTAAAAGGAAATCAAGAATGCGCTCTTGAAAAGACAGAAACAATGACTATGTTTGTAACCAATATTACTAAACCATCATTCTTTAAACTTAAAGTCAGGGAGAGAACGTTTTTTATTTCTTTTATTTGTTTGTTTGTGTTTTAGAGCTCCAGAGGGTGTTTTGTATTAAATATAGGGCTGGACAAAGAACGTGAAGGCTCAGTAATGTTTTAAAGGAAAGAAATCATGAGGAAATGAGAAGTTTGACAAGTTGCCCTGAAAGTTCATATTGGGTTAAAAAGAGCCTTAAACAAATATTACAGAGACAAGATGAATCATGGGTTTAAAACAGGTGATGTCCATATTTGATCCATTGACCACGCCCCTACTCCTTTGTAAACACAAAAGAGTGCCAAAGACAGTCCCTGGCTCCTTTCAGAAAGCTGTGGAACCAAGTTAAGCATGTAAGTTACAGGCATCATACATTTGGTAGCTTCACCCTGTTGCCTGGAACACAAGGATCATAATGATTTATATCATGAGCTGAATAAAAGGACCGTTGGAGGAATAAGTTCACAGGAGACCATTTTCCCCCCTTATCTCCTCGACAGAACCCTAAGCTCTGCCCTGGGTGTAATCAGAAGTAATTTAGTTGATGCTCAAAACATCCATGCCCATGGGGAAAGAGCTCCCTCGCTCCTCTCCACAGAACCAGTCCAGGATCTAGAGGAGCAGCACCCGGGTTTGAGCAGATTCCCAGGGATGGTCTCAAAGCATTGCTGAGCCAAAGCCCACCCTCAGAGGCTACTTCTCAGTTGCTGGATGTTAATCCACCTGTGGTGAGACCAATCAGACTCCCGGCAGGGCAGGCAGGGAGGCCACGTGCCAGTTTCCAGGCATGCACTGGCACCGTTTCCTAGGGAACTGCTCTCCAGATGCTTTTCTGTGTCAGGAGTGAGATCCTTTAACTGATTTGAAACAAAACCAAACCAAAAAAGGTCTGCCCTAGAGAATGGCGAAAGGGTCATGATGCTAGCCAGAGCATGGAGGCACTTACACTGAGATGGTCTGACGTCAAAGAGAGAAGGGCTTCGTTGCAGGGATGAAGTTTCTCAAACAAAATAGTATCTGCTCCTTTGGAGTACAGCTTTATCTGCCCGGCAGGGTTTCGAACTGAAAAGGAGACAAAGATTGGGAACGTGTATGGTCATCCATGAAATCTATCAAAGCCAGACTCTCCCACAGCTCCAGGCCAGCATGTTTTAGCCGGGAGCAGACCGTCCAATGCCTCTGGTTGAACGAGTACAACCTACCGGTAAGTCCTTTGGCTTCCATTCTGTTTTATTAGCTTAGCATGATGGCATCAACCGGAATCCTTCGAGACCTTAAACTCAGAAACAAGTGTTTTCCTTCTACTGTTTTCCTTGTCTACTGTTTTTGAAGGGTTGATGCCTTCGAATGAGGCCTTCTGTCTTGGGCAGAATTGAGAGCTTTCTCTGCCTGTCTCTGGGTATGAAATTCAAGACCTGTGGTTTTAATCCGCTATTAAGTGTTATTCCAAATCATCTCCACACAGATTCCCAGCCCTCCGAGGCCCTGCTTGATGTCTCCACCCTTCGCCCTTGCTGACGTATTTCTTGGTTCTCTTTAGGTTTTGTTGAAAAAACCATTCCTTTTTTGTGGTTCTTTCTTTGCTCACAATTCTGTCTACGAGCGAACTTGACACAGGGAGATGTTAAAAAATAGTTTCCATTTTCTTCCCACTGGAAATCCAGATTATTTGAGTGGTTTTAACCTGTCCCCTCGTTTAGGGAATGACAGTCCAGACTGGGTTCCCCTCACCTCCAATCTCCTTCACAGTTTGCTCTCAGACAAATCTTTCTTTCTAACCACAAGCTACTCAAAGAGTCCTTGTGTGATTAAGTTCTCATGTGCTAAAAGTTTGGCAGTTTAAATCCCACAGATGCCTTAGAAGAAAAATCTGGTTAAGTTCCTTTCTCAAGGGCATAGCCAATAGGGTGAGGGAAAGAGGCCACGGGATATTTGTCTTAACTTTGTAAGCTTGAGTTGACATCCTGTCATATCGTAGGATTTAATCACTGTCAAATGAATGAATGGCATAGAAGTGTATTTTTTCCTCAAGAATGTCCCAGATTTTAAGACAACTTCCTCGGTCACAATTTTATGGTCTCTCTCTTAGGCTACATCAAGTGAGTGAGTCAATGCTTTCCATTCATTTATGCCTTTACTCTAAAAATAGAATGCCTCAAAACAGATGAACCTAAATATTTGCTACTACTAATTTAATGAGATACACAATTTAGAGCTGGATTTAAAGGGATATAAATAACCAAGTACAATATGTTACTTTCCTCTCTAACCTTTAACTACCGTAGCCAACCATTGATTTGCATTTCTTCCTGGCTTGAGTAGATCTAATGCACCCTTGTGTTCTCTCCCAAGACCTTCCTTATGCTACAACTCATGCAGGTTTTTCTCCTCTTCTGACTCTAAATGTCCACCTTTGGGAAAAGAGAGAGAGAAACACCATATGCAACTCTGCATCTAATTTCTCAAATGGAGAAAAATAATAATAACCGTAGGAAAGACCTCCTCTCAAGTTTTTTCAGCCACAATATACTACTTCCCCCTATGTTCGCCCTCCCATCACCAGAATGACAAAGGCAGAGTATATGCCGCACACATTTGCAATGTGACTTCTCCACTCCTGCTGCTTCTAGACCAGGCTAGGGTATCCATGCTCAAATATGTTGGTGTCAAGATCTCTCTACACTCTTAAAAATATTAGTGAGCACCCAAAGAGCTTTCAATGGGTTGTATCTATAAATATTTACCATGTAAGAAAATCAAATGGGGAGATCTTATTCTATCAGCAGTATTGTAGTATTAAAATATTACTATAATAATAAACATATTCCATGTTACCATATATACCACTTTTATGAAAAGTATATATTCTGAAACAAGAAAATTGAATAGGACTGATATGTTTTACATGATTACAAATCTCTTTAATGTCTGTCACGAGAGAAGACTATTCTTAAACTTGCTCTGTACTTAGTCGTTAGCGATAACACTTGTCATTTGACCTCTGTACAACTCCAATGTACACTTTATAGAGAATGAAAGTGAAAAGGCATCTTGAAATTATTACATTAAAAAAATAGTTTTGTCATTGTGGAACCCCTGAAAGTCCCTCAGGGGTCCCCAGGGTCCCTGAACCACACACTGAGAACTACTGGTCTAGGGAAATAATGGATTGATTGTGATTTGCGCAAGCCCTCACCATCTCTACATCTGTTTCTGTATGTGGAAAGATGTGCAAACATTCTGACTTCTAGACACTTTCTCCTCTGATTCAAAAAAGATTTTCCATCCTGGATGCCCTCTCATAACACAACATTAGTGTCTCTAAATTCAAGTCTGTACTAGTCCAATTCCATGGGCTCCTGTTAGAGTTTTCATACTAAGCATTTCCTTTAGCAACTCAGAAAGTTTTATGTCTCTGTCCTATCTAAGACTTCTGATAATTTCTGTTAGGGTCCCTTAAAATTAATAAAATGACCATCATTTAGAAGTTATCCTTATAAAAAGTGAATTAAAATAGAACATGACAGTCTAAACCAGAAATAAGAAAATGATTTCCCAATAGCCAAGGTAACATGTGGGTAGAATGTGGACAAACGACTTTTTTTTTAATTATAGAATCTTATCCCATTGATTTTCCCTGAAATGGAGCCCTGGTGGCACAGGAGTTAGGCCCTCACCTCTAACTCAAGGACAAAGGTTGGAGCCTACTAGCCCGTCCACAGGAGACAGCTGTGGCAGTCTGCTTCCATGAAGACCCTGCATGGAGCAGTTCCACTCTGTCCTCTAGGGTTGTCATGAGTTTAGATAAGCTCTGTGGAAATGAACTTGACTTTAAACGTTGCTGTTCTTCAAGAATTTACCCAGGATCTACTTCTTCCATGCCTCCCATTCTCTTTGGGCAACCATCTCTATGGTTTCAAGAAGGTTCTACAGACCAAGGGCTCTCAGCTGTAGATCTCCTGCCCAGGTCTAGCTGCTTCTGACCTGGACATTCAGATGCCAGCTAGATATCTCACCTTGAGCTGTCTAGTTGAATATAAATTACAAAATCACTGCCTTTATGTCAATTCTGGCTTGAGTAGAACGGAGCAGAACTGCCTTGCTGGGTTTCTGAGCCTGTAAATCATTTCCCAAGCAAATTGCTGCATCTTTCTCCCTGGGAGTTGCTGGGGAGTTCAAAGCACCCATCTTTCAGTCAGCAGGCAAGCAATTTCACTTCTGTACCACCAGGACTCCTCCAGCACATCAACGTCAAAATAGACTCATGCTACGTTTTATCATTAATTAGCTACCCCTCTGGTATTCCCAGTCTTACTAACCATAAGTTCCACCTAGTCTTCTAAACAAGATAGCAGGGCATCACTTACAGCCCTCTTCCACATTTACCACATTTACATTTACCATGTACCCAATCAAAGCCAAGCACTTCTCCTTGCCACATTTTCTCTTGCCTAAATGATTACATTGACTTGTTATACTGGTCCCAGTCCTGAGTCCCTTTGAACCCTTCTCTACATTCTAACCAGTGTGGACCGATACGGGTTGTTGCTGTAGTTAAGTGTCAATGAGTCGGTTCTCGCTCATAGCAACCCTCTGGTATCATCCTCACAATTGGTGTTAAGTTTGAGCCCCTGGTTGCAGCCACGATGTCAATCCCTCTCTTAGAGGATCTTTCTCTTGTGTGATATCCCTCTACATTACCGCACATGATGGTTAGCATTCTAAAACAACTTTCTTCTACCCTTATCGTCAAGCTTAGACTCCTTAACACAGTGGTTCTCAACCTTCCTCATGCCATGAGCCTTTCATACAGTTCCTCATTTGGTGCTGACCCCCAACCCTCAAATTACTTTCGTTGCTACTTCATAACTGTCATTTTGCTACTGTTAGGAATTGTCATGTAAATCCCTGATATGCAGGGTGTATTTTCATGGTTACAGATTGAACACAATTAAAGCATTGTGATGAATCACAAAAACAATATGTAATTATATATTATTAAATATTTATTTCTAATGACAAATAAATGAAATTTTGTCTTGAAGCATGGTGTAGCTTGGATAACAGTTGTCACGTCAGGTACTCGGATGCGGGCATATCTGCATGTGGGCAGAACTGCCTAGAGACGGATAGAGGAGCGGTGTCTCAGCTCCTAAGACCATCAGAAAGATGTGTTTTCCAACGGTCGAAGACAACCCCTGTGAAAGGGTCATTCGACCCCCAAAGGGGTCACAACCCACAGGTTGAGAACCGCTGCCTTAACATGTCATATCCAAAGCTCATCAAGATCTGACCAGTCTCTTTTCTATCCCTTATCTACTGTCTCCTCCTGGATCTTGCCACACAGAGTATCTTTTCACTGTGTTCCACATTCTGCCCAAGCTTCAAGTCCCAGTATCATAGTAGGCACTTAAAATATTTACCTAATTGAATTGCGTTAAACTGCACAAAAAAACCTTGCCTTTGTGATATAAAGGAAAAATGGCAAGTCACACAAACATCTGCCCAGAGTACACAACATCTTACAAGGAGGTGCCGTGGCAGCTCTATGAAGGCTAACTGACAAATAATTCTACTTGCCACATTTGATTGTTGTTTCCACACACACAACAAAGCAAAGTAAAGCAAAAATGCTTGTTACATAGCAGTGCAGGTTGTGCTTTGATAATCTTTCAGAAGTTTAGACTTGAGCAACCATTATCAAAAGATATTGTAAGGGTTTTTCACGGAGCTTTTGTAATGTGTTCCTCTTTAATTATTCTCGGCCACTCGGTCTCTATAGACTACCCTTGAATTTTATCCTCTGTATTTTTATTTGCAGAAACAATGCCCCCCCCCCACACACACACACACCTGCAGGGATTAAGGTGTACCTGACCCAAGCCATGGTATTTTTCAGTAGCCTCGTATGCATATGAAAGTTGAACATTGACTAAGGAAGACCAAAGAAAAATCGATGTACTTGAACTATGATGTTGGCAAAGAACATTGACAGTGCATGGGCTGCCAAAAGAGCAAAGAAGTCTGTCTTGGAAGAAGAGCATCCAGAATGTTCCTCAGAGGCAAGTATGTCTCAGTACTTTGGACATATTATCAGGAGAGACCAGTCCCTAGATGAGGACATCATGCTCACTCGGTCAAGGAGAGGGGCAGCAAAAAAAAAGGGAGACCCTCAACAAGAGGGATTGACACAGTGGCAGTGACAATGAGCTCTGACATACGAACAATGATAAAGATGGTGCAGAAGCAGGCTGTGCACCGTGCTGTTGGACATAGGGTCTCTCTGAGTTGGAACAGACGTCAGGGTGCCTAACAACAACCGTAACAACTTACAAGTGTAGTTATCAGGAGTCTTGGTGGGCTTGGTTAGGCTTCTAACTATAAGAGCTACAGTTCAAGATTATTCGTTACAGCCCGAGGGGAACAAAATGGAGCTGTCCATTCCTATAAACACTGATAGCCTTGGAAACCCACTCTGCCCAATGGGATTGCTAAGAGCTAGAATTGACTCAATGGCCATGAGTTGGGTTTTCTGGTATACATTCACCGATATGGTATAATCTATTCCTCAGAGAAAAATCTTTATAGAAACCTGATTTAACTTAGATACCTCTGACTTAAAGCAGGGCATTGGAAGCATGGTGTGAATGTAGGAGTACGTTATACCATCAACAAAGAAAATGGCAGAGTTCTAGCTCAAATGGAGTCCTGGGGTAGCACAAACAGTTAATACACTCAACTGCTAAACTAAAGTTAGAGGTACAAGTCTATCCAAAACACTCCAGAATTTAAGCTAGGTGATCTACTTCTGGCAAAGCAGGCATTGGAAACCCAGTGAAGTACCATTCTACTTTGTCCCACCTAGGGCACCAGAGGTCAGAGTCAACACAAGGCTAATGGACCTTTTCTAGCACAAATACAAATTAAATTGCGGATGGGTCTTTATTTTAACTGCTGGAGACGGATCTTTGGCCCTAGAGTGAAAGTAATACTAGTATTGAAATGATACACTGTTGAGTCAATGAGTGAAACCTACCCTTAAACAAATCTCCCCACACCAAAAGAAAGAAAGATATAGAAGCTAACTTCTACATTTTCACATCTCAGTGAGGTCTTCACAGACCAAGCCATGTGGCCTCACGAGGCTGGGGTCATTTCTCATCTCGTAACCACACAACAGAGACTATTCTACCCTAGCAGAATCTCTCCTCCAAATTCCTCCTATTAAAAACCAACTGGAACCAAAACAGAGCGCACGAGTGAGTCTCCAAGCATTCTGTGGTGAATGTTACCTTTCTTCATATGGGATTCATTAAGACAAACATCTGATATTTGCGGTTGGGCGGCAATTTCTCCACAGCCTATAATGGTGACCAAGTCTGGGGAGAAGCCAAAGTCTCCCTGTGCAACAGTCTTAGATTTTTGACAAAGTGCTCTGAGCAAAGGGAAGCCAGTCCTAGGCCAAGACAGCTTCAATAAGACTCCCCTGAGGCGGTACATGCAAGACAGTTCCTGCTAATACAACATGAAGCCAACATTGAGAGCAAGTGCGCTCTACAGAAGCATTAATAACGATTTGCAGCCTGTGGAAGGAGCCCTAGCAGCAGAGTGGATTATGAATGGAGCTGCTAAACTGAAGGCCAGAGAGACTAGGCTTCCTACTCTGGTCCAGGAGGAAAGCCTTGGAAACCCATGGGGTCTCTAAGAATTGGAATGGATGCCGTGGCAGTATTTTGAGATGACGTGTAGTTAAAAAGAAAAGGAACCCCCTGATGTGTTTGTTTTTTTTTCTGCTGAGAACAATCTCGCCAGGATAGTTTCTAATAATTGGAACCTGAAAACTCTACCATTATGCACACATTAGCCACTGGGGGAAGGGATTCAGTACAACAATCAGGCTTGATAGGTTGGTGGCAGGGGGGAGAGGGAGGGAATCTGAGCAATACTCAGAGCTCCTCTCCCTCAACCATCCATATCTCCAATCAAAACCCAGCGGTGCAGTAGTGAAACGCTCGACTGCTAACCTAAAGGTTGGTTGTTTGACCCCACCAGTGGCCTTGTGGAATAAAAGGCCTGGTGATCTGTTCCCACAAAGATGATGAGTTAGTCTATTGTGCCAACCTGGCCGATAAACACATGTGGGATTAATTGAAGGGCAGAGGGATAAATGGCTTGGTGAGCCTCGCCTTTCGAGTTCTCGGGTCTCTTGCTTTGTAATGGTCGCACGAGGTGCAGCTGCCTTAGCAGTTCCTTGCTTCAGCTTGCAAGCCTCACTTCCTGCAAGACATCCTCGAGGAGAAGCCACATGGACCTACCCCGATGCTCATGTGGAGACCTCTGCCAGCACTGAGATGCTTACACATTCACTGATTCTACTTTCCTCCTGCAGTTGGCATCCCTGCATGTGTTTTGTGAGATGGAGGAGGACTTTGTGGACTGCTGTTGGACATATGGATTAATGGGTTAATGTTGGACTTACGGGCTGGGCAGCACTGGGTGGGGATGTTTTCTTGATGTACACTTAACCTATATATAAAACTCTCTCTTACACATGAGTTTCTGTGGATTTGTTTCTCTAAAGTATCCAGACTACAGTTGACATCTTGGAAACGCTGTCGGGGAGGTTCTCCTCTGTCCCACAGGGTCACTCTGAGTCAATGTCAACTTGAAGACAGCAGGGGGGTATAAGTAGCAAAGTACTAGGTTTAATTTTTATTTAAGAACCATTTGTAGAAGACTTATGGTGCACAAGGTAAATTCTATGTGTGGCCATGGACAGTTTAAGAATACAATGAAGTGTAAGGTGAAAAGCAATGGGCTGGTGAGGGAGAAATCCAGGGTGTGTGTCAGCAGGACAGGAGCAGTGTCCTGAGGAAGAGACTAGAGAATGAGTCCAAGTAGGGTTTTGGGGAATAAAAGCAATTTCTCTCCAAGACAGGAGGAAGAATGAGTGAAAACATAGTTTGGGAATGAAGACCTAGTCTAGGGGAGTTGACAGAGGGCAAGCTGGTGGTGGGCATTCCTGAAGGCCTCAGAGAGCAGACTCGTTAATATTCCCCCAAATAAAGGAAATCATAGCATGGGTGAGGGTTTGGGGAAAAGGCAAAAATTTAAGACCCAGAGTGGGGAATGGGAAAATGAGCTAAATTGGAAGAAAAGGACATGACACGCCACTGAGGGCTCAAGTGAGTGAGGAAAAGATCATTTGCTGTGGCACTGAGTAAAAGATCAGGTAATCATCTCTAGTAATAAGGATGAGCAGAGATGAGAAGGCAGGTAGTGAATATTAACAACAACTAGCACATGTCACAGGAGCCCTTGTGACTAAACATTGGGCTAGTGATTCAAGTCCCTCAGCCAGTGATTCAAGGTTAAGGTTAGTGATTCAAGTCCCTCAGCCACTTTGTGGGAGAAATATAAGGCTCTGTGCTCCCATAAAGATTACAGTCTCGAGAAGGTTTCAGTCTTGGAAAGCCTAGGGAGCAGTATTATGCTACCTGATAGGGTCACTATGAGTTGATATCATCATGATGGCAGTGGGACTGTTTGGGTTTTCTTGTTTGTTTGATTGATTGATTCTTTAGCACGAGTGAAGCAAATCATAAACTTATCCTAAGCCAGTGAAATTATAGTGATTAAGTAAATGGACTCCACAGTCAAACTCCTTCATTCTGAACTTCACCTATTCCATTCCAAGCTCTGTGACCTTGGGCAAGTTGCTCAACCTTTCTGTGTCCCTGTTTAATTATCTGCAAAATGGATATAAAATAATAGTGTCTAACTGACAGAGTTTCAACAACAAAATCAGTTAATCCATGTCAAACACTTGGAGCAGTGCTCAACAAATACTAACCACTGGTAATGTTAGTTATACTTATTACTATAGTATTAAGTAATACTATAGCATTAAGTAAAACTTAACACTATAGTAATTATGTAGTATTTAGGCTAAATTGAGGATTACAGGAGTTCAAAATGTTATAAAAATACCACAACTCACAGCACAGGGACAAGAGCAAAATAATCATTGAAAGACATCAATATCATCATAGTACAGTATGATAATTATCATCATAATACAATCAATGGATCAAAAATAATCTCAGCTATCAAGCATACCTATAACAGACATTCTTTTTCTGATATTGTTGAAATCCAAAAAAGCAAGCAATTGGTAAGTAACAATTGTTCCCAGTTCTTCAACTGTTATAGTCTCCGGAGTTCGAGATTTAAAAATGAATCCAAAATTTCTTGCAGCGGTCACTAGAGCCCCTTCATCGGGTGATTGAACTTGGTAAACCAGCTGGCCTAAAAGAAAAAGAAACCAGCACATAATTGTAAGTGGTTACTAGCAAAGTCCTAGAGTGCCATGCCCAACTTGTTCTCCAATGCCCACCTCAAGGGTCAACTCTAGAAATCTTTTCTATCCTCAGTCCTCTCCTGCTCACCAGCCAGGTGGATCCAGTGCCCCTCTTCTGGAATTCCAGGGGATTGCAAGCACATGGCCATCGTACCCTTGTCATCCTGTATGAAGGAATCCATCCGAGTCTGCCTCTCCACTCTGGTGAAAGTATCTAAGATCTGACTATACCTTATATTTTCAGTGATGGGAGAACCACCAAGAAGAGTCACAGCCCAAACATTTTAATGTACATTAATTCACATAATCATAGTAAGTCATTGAGGCAGAATTTATTAAAAATGTTTTTTTCCCCTGTATATCAGGGGAAGCTATAATGGAGAGTGTTACATGATTTTTGCAAGATCACAGAGTCAAAGGGTGAAGTAGCACATACTCTGAATTCTAATCTTCTGATGCCCATTTTTAATAATAAGGCATACAAGAAAAGTCCTGACTTAGAAGGAACCAAATCAGGGTGTTATAACTTGTTCCCAAACACTGTGTGTGTGTGTGTGTGTGTGTGTGTGTGTGTGT